CAAAGAAGATAACTGTCAAGTGTTTTAATGAAAGTGAATTTAATTTCACGCTTATTAAAACTTTTTTTGTTGATTAAAGTGACAGTTTAATGTCGGAATACTGAAACGCTACTCAATTTTAAGTCGCGCTTAAGTATAGTTCTGTCACCACTAATTCTTTGTAAAATGACAGAGATGGCACGATATTTAAGCACGACTTACGTTTCAGTATTCCGGCGTAAGTTATTTATTTCTGTTTTTATCTAGTCAATTACTTCATTAAAAGTTAATGTGCTTCAAAACCTGCTACTGCCGAACTACAAAATCAAAAATCCTTAAATTGTTTCCTTAGATCCAAATATACACTATCGGAAAAATGTCCTGCAACACATGTCACCAGCGACGTTGGGTGATTTAGCTTGACTTTGGTCGACATGTCTGGCAACATCAACGTCACTGTGGTCATAAGTTGCGCGTTGTCACTGTATATGTCAGGCGAAGTCGACCGGCTTCGCTCGAGATGCCACCGATACGTGTCTTAGGACATTTTGTCCCTCAATGTATCCTTGGCTTTATGGAACTAGTTATAATAATCATGACAACTAAACTAAGATACTCATAAAAATAATTATAACAAAAACTTGTTTATTAATTTATATACTTATTAAATTAACTTCAAAAGCTTTACCAAGTACTTACTTCAAAGATCAAAGCAATCTCAGAAATTTAAACTTAAATAAAACTAAAAGATAAATTTTCTTTGAGTAAAATCTCAGTGTAATTAGTTTGAGTTTCCAAGAGCTTGTTACTAAACATATTTTACTAAGAGTGGGACAACACAATGGCGACACGCGACGTCGACGTCAAAATCATTTAATTACATCATTGTTAGCATCTAGGTCTCTATCTAGGTCATTGTTACGTATTCATTATCCGAAAAATAGGTCTCCCTGACACTTTAATAGCGGTTCCTGAAATATGACGTTGTGAATGTCACTTGTTTTTAGAATTTGTTTGATGGTTTCTGCCAATACAATGATGGATTGAGTAATGAGCTATGGTTGCAGATTATTCATCGATGATTTCATCGTCAGTCTTTTGTAAGTACATACATAACATCACGCTTTTTATCCCCAAAGGGGTAGGCGGAGGTGCATATTACGGCACTTAATGCCATTGTGCAATGTAACACACACTTTTTACTATTTATGTTATGAGTTCCGTGTTATAGGGGGTGAGCCTATTGTCATAATCGGGCACAATTCCAGACTCCGTGCTACTACTAATTGTTTTTATAAACCTTAGTAATACTTTGCCCGACCCGGGAATCGAACCCGAGACACCCTGCCCGGCAGTCGCAAGTGCGTCAAAAAAATGTACAGAAATAGTGTGCCTCAATAATCAGCAATTAAGTTTCTAGACTCTAGATCAGTTTCCAAGAGTTCTAAACAATGATAATCGTTTCTTTATGATTGATGCCCATATTAAGATGAACATTATAATCGTTCGATTGCTATTTTTATGAAATAATTACACTTTAATCGATATTGGTTATGGCTTAAACTGTTAGAGATAAAATGGCATTAAAGTTCTGTTAATAACTCAAGTTTTTCAATAAAATACATTGTTGTTTATTGTCTTTTTGCATTAAAAATAATGAGTCGTTAGGTTTACTTACCACTAACAACTGACAACTAAAATAGGTAAGTAGGTAATTTATGTTTTTAGATTTAATTACAACAATTAAGCATTTAAGTAAATAAAAGCAATGTGCAATAAACACAATCTAATTAGCTCTATAAATAACGGAGACAGAGGCCAAACGTCTTTTTTTTAAGGGGGGAAAATCATCGAATGACTTCTCCTGCCTCGGTGAGGCGGGAGGGAGTGTCAGACTCTTACTGACTAAAAACCACCCCGTTCCTTCTCCTGCACGTCGAACCGGAGCCCCGGTAACGCATTAAGTTCTCCGCGACTGGCCAAACGTCTGCCGACCAAATATAAAAAAAAACATTGGTTCCGATAACCAGATAATAATATGAACCTAGACAACGAAAAAACCAAGGAAGCTTATGGTTTTCATTAAGCACCACTAAACCATCTTTTAACTAAGACTTAGGTACTTAGTGTGACGTAGCAGACATCAACTATCTTAACTTAGAGGTCCCATAAAGTTTAGGAGGTAAAACTCTGAAAAGGAACATTGCTTTATACCTACCCAATAAAAATTTCCAAAAATACTTCACCAGATCGGATACTCAAGATCTCTTATATCGCAATAACACTTGTAACTACACAACCACAACAAACTACTAAAGTATGACATGATAATCAACCAATTAAGTCACGAGTAACATGTCACATAGTTGACATGAGCAAAAAACAGAACACCTACTTTAACCGACCTCCACGAGGCCTCAACTTGTCACACGACACATAATTCACTCGTTTCCGTTGACCATAGTCACTTGGCCTAGTGGCAAATGGGCTGATAGTGGATACGATTCAAATTGATTAGATTCTTTACAGATAATATAATTAACTTGAGTTAAGATAGTATAATAGTAATAGTATTACACTTATTATATCTGATGTTGCTCTGTGACGGTGATTGCTTTCCATCAGGTCATCCGTAGGCTCGCTTACCTGGTATTCCATAAAAAAAAATTACAGACTAAAGGAGTACCTTTACTTTAACAGTAACAGTAGTTACACATATGCTAAATTTCAAGCACAAAAGCGTGCTTTAATGGGTCTATCGTATTGTTGGCCACCAGATGGCGCAAATGCAGGAAAAGATTTTTTGTCCAATCACAGAAGTTATTGAATATTGAATGTCCAATGGGGTGACAGCTAGCTAGCAAATTCTCAATTGGACGAAGAACGATAGGTGCACACTAGTGCCATCTGGTGAAAAAGTGGTGACACTAAAGAACAATGGGGCCCACATATAAAGGCGCTTTCGGGGAGATTAAGCTCAGCTGCTTTTGCAGTTAGACAGATTAGACAGCTCACGGACGTAGATACGGCAAGGCTTGTCTATTTTAGTTACTTTCACAGCATTATGTCGTACGGCATTTTGTTGTGGGGTCGAGCTGCAGAAATAGAATCAATTTTTATTCTTCAAAAGCGGGCTATCCGAGCAATATATAACTTACGCCGTTGCGAATCGCTAAGAGAATTGTTTAAAACGATAAACATCTTAACGGTGCCCTGTCAATACATATATGAAAATATAATGTATGTAAGAAAGAATAGGCAATTGTTCGAAAAAAGAAGCGATAGACACAATCTTAATACTAGAGGCAAGAATAAGTTAGCTGTACTGCAATTCAGACTGTCCAAGGTACAGAAATCCTTTATGGGGTTAGGTATTAAATGCTATAATAAAATACCAAATAGCATACTAGATCTAAATGAAAGTAAATTTAAAACATATATTAAGCGCGAATTATGTAAACAAGCGTACTACAGGGTGATTGATTATCTTGAGGATAGGAATGCTTGGCAGCGTGTTGGTTCGGCTCCACTGGACAATACTCAAATGTAGTCAGTACCTAGTTCAGATTACGATAATAGGTAATTTAACACTTTGATTCCGATGAAGGCAATCTATTTTTCTTGTGGCATCGAGCATTTCTTTCTTTATTTAAACAAGAGTATATTTTTTATTTTTTTCTTGTATAGAAGCACTATTTTATATGGATTGTCAGTATACATATGTGAGGACCATGTCAGACTTAAGATATTTGTTTTCTCTTGGTTTTGTTTTTTTTTTTTCTATTTTAGTATGTTCTGTTATTTGTATGTTGCTTCAGGTATGTCTTTACATTATTCTCACATGTGTGTACAATATTGGAATATGTATCAGAGCAATGTAAAACAGACTTTTTTAAAAGAGTAACGAATGGAGTTTCTTGCTCGTTCTTCTCCACTCGAATCGACATTTTGGAACGAGCGCCTAGCTTCACTGACGGACAGACTGACAGACTATTATATATCTCATATTTGTTGACGTTTCAAAAGTACCAAATTGTGGTTTAATTGAAATAAATGCTTTTGAGTTTGAGTTTGAGAGTTTGAGTAAAAATACGATAGTTCCCATTGAGCAACTGTCGAAATGTTGCTCAAAATTAGCATGCTAATGTCGGCCATGCTAGGAATCGAGAGTCGTTCGATTTTCAAAAATTTTTGAGCATGTTCAATACAACGCCTTTTAGCTGGGTATTAACCTTAATATTTCTTACTTTTCTCTCCGCGGAAAACGCAAAAACTATAAAATGACAAACGAATTGGAGACCGCGTATGCTTGACAATCATGCTTACATGTCTACATGAAGTACCTACACTGATTAGATATTAATAGCCACTTTAGCCCATATCAACCTTTTTCTATCAAAATGAGACCAAACTATGTCACGAACGTGATACAGTTTAGGCCATATAAGTCCTAATTATTATAATTTGAGGCCATTCACACATGGCGGTGATTAAAATATCTACATGCTCTGTATTCGCACGTTATTGATCTCATCCGGTGTTGCAACTATTGATATTTGCCGATACTGAGCACTTTTGAGGTGTATTTATAGTTTGATTCACTTATATGGTAGTTATTTATTGGGTAGGCTTCATGGGAATGTAACACGTACTTGACCAATTTAGGAGGTAATGCAAATATTAGTTACATTACATTTGAATAAACATGTTCAAACGATTTGTATAAAGGTTTAAATGCATAACTCGCAAATGATTTATATGGTTTCAAAACTTACTGAAACACAGTGTTAACTACTTCGTTTATTTATAAAAAATTGTTCGAATCCCGATATTGATAGGAGGGAAACCATGAATAATTTTCCAAATAAAATCGAACAGATCGTTATATTCTTCAGTCATCTCCTTAAATTCAAAACATATTGTTGGTTTCAAATTACTAGGTACTATATTGAACACATCTTTTAATTAAGAATGGAATTCAAATTCCAAAAACGTTAATCAATTTTTCTATTTGTCCACAGAATAAATCAAAATGTTCCACGGAGGTATATGGGCAAAGCTGCAAGGCTTCTATAAGTGGTATGTGCTGGGGCTGGTGTCGATCGGCTACATCCTAGGAGAGCTCGGACATTATCTTATTGGTAAGTAAATTTTTTTTTGTACCTCTATAAGCCGGTCAGATGGATCACCTGATGGTAAGCAATCGGCGTCGCCCATGGACACCCGGAACATCAGAGGCGTTACAAATACGTTACTGACTTTTAGGGGATTAGAAATTTGAGCATTGTTGAGGATTTAAAGGTTGAGGAGATTGGGAACAAAACACTTCGCAGTCGGTTTCATGTCGATTTTCTGCTCGCTCGTGGTATCCACTCCGGTCGAGCCGACCCATTCGTGCCAAAGCTTGGCTCTCCCGCACTTATTTATTGTTCTGAGCTTAATCGGAGTAATATGCCTTTTCATCCTTCAAAGCTTTCTAACTTCTCTGATGCAGTGACCACCTGAGGCACTGACTGCTTATCATGTGACCCGTTGTTTTGAAGCTCCTATAAAGAAAATAGTAACCTATTTCCACATTCCACAAGCGACTTTAGATTGACAAAAGTACAAAAGTCCTTTATGGGATTCTGTGTTAAATGCTATAATAAAATTCCGGAGGAAATACAACATTTAAATGAGTCAAAATTTAAATTATATGTTAAAAAAACGTTATGCGGAAAAGCATACTACAAACTTAATGATTACATAGAGGATAAAAATGCTTGGAGGCATGCTGGTCCGGCTCCACAGGATAGCGAAAAACATTGATGTTCCAATGAGTTCCAATCATGTCAAATACAGCCATTTTGTTCAAATGTACACACTGTAAAACTTTATATAGGTAACTATTGTAAATGTGAGAGCCCTGTAACTACCTAAATTAAATTAGACTAGTAGAATGCATGTGTGTCAGCCTGGAGTTGTCATGCTCACTCAAAAGTCTCATTGGCAGTGGCACGGGCAGTGGATCGCTCGATTCCCTATAACATGGTCGAGTTGGGCGGTGCTGGTGTACGTGTCATGTTCGTGAACGGGCGCTGTCAAATGGGACTGGTCAGCTCCAGACTGTATTAAATTTGTTGTCCTCAAGGTTATTTTCTTTTTCCGTCTCCTTGACCAAATATTGGTATTACATTGTTCTCACATTATTGAACTCAACGGAAGAATGTAACCAAAAATTGTATTGTGAACATGATTGAAAAAGAGTAACCTATGGAGTTTCTTGCTCGTTCTTCTCCATAGGAATCTACACTTTGGAACGAGCAAATAGCTTCACTAGAGGACTGACCTACAGACTGACATTTTTTATTTTTTTCTTATTATTTAATATTTAAATATTTTGTTTTGACGTTCAAAAGTGCCTTACTGGTCTAATTGAAATAAATGATTTTGACTTTGACTTTTGACTTTGACGCAGAAATCATACCGAAAGAGTATGTTTTAATTAAACACGAATTACAATGAAAGTTCAACGAACCATATCGCTGTGAGGTCCCCACTGTACTATGTACTTATATGTAATCATAATCTATATAATCGAAGTTCTTACTATTAATAAAGCAGTGTATTCTCAGCATTCGTACTGTTTTATTCCTAACACTCGACCCGTACCGTACATCGCTAATAAATCGAAACGTACAAAACAAAATCTAATTCACCGAAACAGAAAACAAAATGGTTAATGAATTTGCCGGTATTAGGAACAAATAAACAAAATCCAGTACATATCTACATAGCATCTCCATATTGAATGGGTAAAAACAACGTTCGTATAAATACATACATTCATATTATGTATATTCACATAGAGATACACACATATGTGATGCTGGATGAACTTACTCGAACGAGCATGTATGCCAACTAAGTCTGATTTCAAGCCATGCTCGAAGCTAACCTCAATGTTCCATTTCAACCAGATCTAAATGTCAATAAGTAATTTATTAATGTTTGAAAATGTACATTATAATTACCGTGAGATAACTAAATTAAACGAAATGATTATGCTAATAAAAAGTTAATGGTATGAGTCCGGGTATTATTCGAAACTAGTAGAGCCTTTCTCGAAAATTTTACGTGAGTAATCTGTATATTTTAATTAGTCTTCTTGCTCGACTTTACACTGTATATAATGCGAACAAGTGATTGCCATATAGATGTAGGGTCGAGCAGGCTTGGTATAGTCATGCTTGAACGAGACATGCTCGTTTGTGTGTACCTATTAGGACCTACCAACATACATATTTACATATTCTGTATATGGAAAACAAAGCGGGCCGAATGCGAGAGGTGCATGAATACATACATTATTTCCCGCGGGACGCCATTCCGATATCCGTTGATTCAGCTGAATTAACTTCTATATTTGAATATTGTTTTGTTAGTATTTTTCCAATTGAGTACGTGTCTACTACTAATGGAAAATTCATCTTCCAGTACATTTGACGTTACTTATTTTATCTAGAGGCGGAAAATTATAGATTTTATTATTTTTCCCGCTTTCCCAATATAAGACTCGTCAGGGTCTTTTTTGTAAATAATGATTTGTTTTATTACGATCACCTTACCTTATAGACTATTTTATTAATCGATTTCGATTTCGATTTCACTTGAACCCAAACACAAGAAGAACAAATAGGCAATCCCTCTTAAAGAACTAATTACAAATTTCCGATAATTCCAAATCATGATAAACCGCCATTAAAATATGACAAAACCGGTCCGGACCTGGTCTTTACGGCTGTAAATCTATGTTGACCCAAAAGACAATAGCATTACCCATCATTGATCACGTAGCACCCATGCAATGAACAGCAGATACTTGTCATAATACAAAATAATTGAAACAAAATTCCTAGTACAAGAACACAATGATCAATGAACGTGAGAATTACAGATTACTAGAAATTCATTCATAAAAAGACACAATTACACGATCAATGACATCTTGAATTACTAATTTACTATTGAAATTGATATCTGCAATAGTTTTTAATGATAATTAGAGAAACAATTGTACATCAGATTAGTTAATGATGGAGGACAAATTAAGTTATAAATGGGTTTTTACCATGGCGTCATATTTGCTTAAAACACGATATTTGAAGGTATCGACTGAACAGAATGCATACTCAATTTCAAAGTCAAAATCAAAACATTTATTTCAATTAAACCATAATTTGGTACTTTGAAACGTCAACAAATACCTACAAAATAAATAATAGTTTGTCAGTCAGTCCGTCAGTGAAGCTAGGTGAAGCTAGGTGCTCATTCCAAAATGTAGATTCGAATTGAGAAGAACGAGCAAGAAACTACATTCGTTACTCTTTTTAAAAATATATACACAATATACAACCCACACACTCATCATGGTGAGTGTCGCCGTAATTGATAAAACGGGCTACACATTCCCAACAGTAGCGTGTGTTGGAGTTTAAAAGGTTAAGGTTCGGTTTAAAAGTTTTAGGAAACGAAGTGTTGGAGTTTCAAAGATTTAGATTCATCAAATAGTTAAACCAAAACGAAGTGATCCAGAGAACCAACTTATCAACATAGCCCAAAGGATTAGTAAGCTGAAGTGGCAGTGGGCCGGTCATATTTGTCGAAGAACCGATAACCGTTGGGGTAAACGTGTTCTAGAGTGGAGACCGCGTATAGGCAAACGTACTGTAGGGCGCCCTCCAGCTAGTTGGAGTCACAAGATCCCGAAAGGTAACTGGCAGTGGTTGGATGAGAAGAGGTAAAGACTGAGCTCAGTAGCGTGCTATTGGAGAGGCCTATGTCCAGTAATGGCCGAACATGGGCTGATGATGGTAATAATGATATTGAGACTAAAAATAATTATACCGAATCTCGTACTAATCTGTCTACTAATCTAATATTATAAACTAGCTTCTGCCCGCGACTTCGTACGCGCAATCCTGTTTTTCCCGGAAACTAAAACTAAACTAAACTTTTTTTTTTCGAACGGGATAAAAAGTATCTTATGTCCGTCTCCTGGCTCTAAGTTACCTCCATACCAATTTTTAGCTAAATCAGTTCTTCCGTTCTTGAGTTATAAGTGGTGTAACTAACACGACTTTCTTTTATATATATAGATGCGATGTATTTGTGTGCATGTATGTTACTCAATTACATCAAAACGGCTAAAGAGTTCGCGATGAAACTTGGAATAGATGTAGATTATGGTCTGGAATAACACATAGGCTAATTTTAATCCCCCAGGAACGCGGCTGAAGCTGCTGGCAAAAGCTAGTTTACTATTAAACATATACAAATGTGTCTGTTATGTTCATATGACATACAGATATGATCTTATCTCAGTGTTATTCACAACACAATAACTTGCCCATCTATTGTCGCCTTCAAACAAACGTCCTTTGGTTTCCTACTGGGGACCAAGTGTCCCTTTACGTATTCATTCTTCGATATAAATACTTCTTCAATACAACCTGCATGGTTCTGATGTCCCAGTAACCTAGCCTTCAGACTGTCACTCACGAACTTTAATGTCAGTAGAGGTTAGGTACTACACTATTCATACGGCATGTAACTCGAATTAATTTTTGATTTAGAGGAGCCTTGAACTGTAAATATAATTATGGTGAAGAATTTTTCTTTAGTAGTCTTTTGAAATTTATTGCTTTTGTTCTTTTCGTAACCTTTTTGGTTGAAATCATCTTTTCAAATCAAATCACATCATTTATTAATTTGCGAACGTGGGTACAAAAATAATGGTCTTATACAAAATAGTGTCCTTTAACCATATTCTACCTTAAAGGCATGCAAATTTAAAAAAAAGATACAATAACACATATTAGCCACCAATAAACTAGTATTTTACAAATGAGGTAACATTACATAAGCTTATCCTGTAAAAATATTCTGTGACAGAGTAATATGCTTTTTCCAGTAACAGTGTTTTAACATTGTTTTTAAATATATTTTCATCACATATACCCAGAAATGAATTTTTCGAATCTTTTCGAAAAATCAGAAGAGAAACAAGCATGTACGGTTCTAGAACAATTTATTTAAAATAGTTATGAAATCAAGGACTAGAAATAAATTGTTAGTAAAATATTATGTACACGTACTTAATGCCTACTTAATTAACTACGATTTTACAACACTTGTCCTTAGAAACGTTTTACTATATTAACCATTCAACATCAGATCAGAATGTTAAACTACAACATTATGCAATAAGTAGCAATCCTTAAGCAAAACATCGCTATGCTATAAATAACAAATTAATGATCGGCCGAAAACCGACAAAAACGTGCGTTTCGAATCAGTCAATTAATATTGTAAGTCAGAGTCAGTGCCGAGGCCGTTCAAAGTCATTATCATTGGCACAGCGTACGGCCCAGTTCACATGACGCCACCAATTGGCTAAGCAACAAGTTTATGAGAATTATGCAACTACACAACGGCAAGTACCAATGCGACTTTTTCCGAGTTATATATTGTACTTTCTAATATCTAGACACCACTGATAAACGGTGAAGGAAAACATCGTGAGGAAACCTGGACTTATAATTTCTAATTCTAAGTTTGTATTCGCCAACCCGCATTGAGTTAGCGTGGTGATTAATGCTCAAACCTTCTCCGTGTGAGAAAAGGCTTTGCTCAGCAGTGGGCATTTATAAGCTGTTGATGATGATGCAACTACAACTGCTTTAGTTAAAATGTTAGTGCTAACAAGGTTAGGCACGACTGGCTACGATGCGATATTAAAAAAATATATAGAATACGACACTGTCCCTATATTGGACCCATCGGTTGGGTCAGTATTTGCAATGACTCGACTCTCTTAATTCAAACTTGAGTATTCGGTTCAGTAGGTTCATAGATTTAATAATGTATTCGAACATCGAACGATTTGATTTCGAATTTCAAACCATGGATCTTTTTTTTATTCATCGAGTAACCTGTCTTGTCAAATCCTGGATCTAGCTCAACATTTGACCAATTGATTTGAAGCAGTCTAATATACTATATAGAGTTGAATTTGGAATCTATCCATCATGTCATTGAAATCTTAGATCTCTGGATTTGAAAGGAGCCATTTAAACCTCGTTGCTTATTTATGAGCGTTGTTAAGTAAATTGTAACGTGGGAAGGAAGAAATATACTACTATGTAACTTAAACTGGAATATGTAAACTATATTTTACTCCTAACTTATGACAGTATGACTTCGAAACAATTTGTGTTAACATTTTTAAAGCAAATGTTCTAGTAGTATTTTGGGTTTTTCGTTAAGATGCGGTAAAAGGATCTGGAATTATTTTCTATACTTCTCTATTCAGCTTTGTATTTTTTAAATTTTGACTAATGAAGGCGACACTTATGTTAAAAACCTCCTTCGTAGCGCGAAAAAAAAAATGGTGGTAACATGGTGAATTCGCGTTCGCGGTAAAATTCAAAATTCGAAGGCCCCGCCCACGCCTCGCTCGAGCGGGCTCCGCGCGCGCAGCCGAAACGTTAAGTGATGAGCATGTTCGAAGACGCTCCGCGTTCCCGCCAATTTTCTCGATTTTTGAATTCGTGGTGGAAACATACAGCCCTAATATTTTATTACCTAATGTTTATGAAAGTAATTTCTTTTCTGAATGGTTCCTTGCCAGCGGCTTCGCTGGCGTTCCCATGGGGGAATAACCATGGGAAACTAGGGTAGGAGTGACTTTAGTCTTCAGCCCGATTCCTTCAGCCGTTTTGACGTGAAAGAGTAACAAACATACAAAACTTCGCACGTGTAATATGAAATAGAATGTTAAATTAATTAATTAATCCTTGGTCCTCAGGTACTACATCGAAGGTGACGGCAGATGATCTCCACTACGGGGACAAGTCATGCATGCTGAACCTGACGCACGTGTCACTGAGCGACTTACCGGTCGTCTGCGAGAAAGTCAACTCTAGTGATATGTAAGTACAAAGTACATTTTCCCCAATCCCCAAATCTCCAAATCCTTAGCCTATCAAAGACTGGCAACACATTTAAATAAAATAAATAATAAAATCTTTATTCAAAAATGTAAATGGACACAGATACAAAAATATTTCTTAGGTAAATAAAATAGATCTCACATGGTTAGGAGCCTGTACTAGGATAATCCTATGTCACAGGCCATTGTAGGACTAACATAATTATAATTTTATTTCTATATACGCTCTTACATGCATTAATATTTGTCATAATTTTAACACGCACGTTTTGTCCAGTATTAATGTGCAATTGTTAATCTAGATCACAATATTGCAATCGTAATTATTTTGTTTTAATTTTCTAATGAGTTAATCAATATGTCCGATTCATACGAAAATACAATCAAGAATCTTGAATTTGTGAATGCTCCGGTGTTGCGAGTGTCCATTGACGCCATCGGTTGCTTACCATTAGGTGACACGTTTTCGTAATTAAAAAGTGCAGTTTTTAGTTAAATCTCGCTCGGATGACGTCAACGCTCTTAAAACGATTACCTTAAAACGATAAAACGATATTATACAATACTATATCAGAATTAAATCATTGTGCGTTTGCAACAAAATCTTGCACTAAACTTGTACCAATTTAAATAGGTATTCATATATTTAGGACATCATTAAAACTAATGATTATTATGACCTTCTAAATATTTAAGACCTTTAATGAAAACATCTATAACTTTAATTCATATTTCTTAATCTATAATTAATTTTGGATGAAACCATGACACAAAAGAAAGATGACTACTATTAATTCTTGGTCCTTTCATAGGAAACGACCAATTTTCGGCGCCAGCGCCCTCTACGCCCATTTAATTAACCTGAAGCTTATCCTGTTCTTGTTAATTATTTTTCCAAATTAATTGATATCCACAATAACCGTCGAAACAGGAGGAAGAAGGGGAGAACGATACAACACGGTCAAAAAGTATTTAGACATCATAAAATACAATATTTTTTACAACAACATCATAATGTTTATATTAAAACTGAGATATACTAAATTGAACTGAGATATATGAAAGGTAGCTGCTCATTAGGTAAAACCCCTCTGTGGTTCGAAAGTAGTAGAGCTTTTCTCAGTATATTCACTTCACTTGAGTAACCCGAGATTTTAGTTAATTTAGTATGTCTCACGATAGTTATTATAAAAATATAGGTACTAAATTGTTAAAATACCAAAACTAGTCGAGTTCTTCGTCAAACAGTTACGTAAGTAAGCCTAAAACATAATAATAATTAATTTAACATATACAATATTATTTATATCCACGTTTTACGAGGGCAAATCTAAAAAAATATATAAATAAATAATTACAAATCATAACATTACTTGTCCGACCCAGAAACCCTTGACAGTCACGCTTCCGAGAAGGCAGTCAAATAAATATTTGTGGAAATACATATACTTAATAAAAAATATGAATAAACGATTAAGGAAGTATGTAATAAACGCCTAATAAATAAAATCTTAATCTTATAAAACTATCAATTGAGTCACTAACTATGATATAATTACGAAGGTCACTCATTAAATGCTAAGAATCCTAATTATGCAACAGATTGTCCAACAGCTGGACAAGATACTAGTACGTACACCCACATGCATACAATCAGGATATACATAGTTCTCGGTATCGATATGTTAACATGAATACCTAGGCATAGTATATATGTCACGGAGAACCTAACGGGTTACCGGGGCTCCGGCTCGACGTGCAGGAGAAGGAATGAGGTGGTATTTAGTTAGTAAGAGTCTGACACAGGGAGTGTGACACGCCTGGGTGAGGCGGGAGCAGTGTTCCGATGATTTTCCCCACTTAAAAAAAAGACATAGATACATAGTATATTTTTCTACCTCGTGTAAATAAAGTTATGACCACAGAAAGAATATTTCTGTGGTTATGATAGAAGATACAATCAAATTAACTTACGTTCAGACTAACGGAAACCTTAACTTGATTCCCTCTAGTCCTTTCCATCGAGCAATCGGCGACAAGACAATCGGCGAAGCGTCACAAATTCATGGTAGATGTACCACCCACACGCACGAACCGCTTCGCATTAAGCTTCCTTGTGCGTACTGCTAAGGAGTGGAATTCTTTGCCAGAGTCTATGTTTTCTGAAGGGTACGACCTGGGTCACTTACGGGTCGACGTGCATTGTAGACCACATAATCGCTTACTACCACGTAAGGTCAACCATTAAATATAAAAAAAAAACTAAAAGTGCCTCGTTCGCCGAGTGGTCGCAAGTGCGACTGCCGGGCAAGGGGTCTCGGGTTCGCTTCCCAGTTCGGGAAGTGTTACTGGGTTGTAAAAAAAAATCACAGTGGTAGCGCGGAGTCTGGAATTGTGCCCGGTATATGGCAATAGGCTCACCCCCTATTACATGGGACTCATAACATAAATAGTGAAAGTGTGTAACATTGTACAGTAGCATTAAGTGCCGTAATGTGCGCCTCTGTCCCCTCTACCCTCTACCCCTACGGGAATATGGCGATGTTATGTTATGTAAAAGTGAAGAAAAATGTATGCTTCTAAATGAAACAAGGCCGTTGTTCATTATTTATAAAAATCACACAGAGGTATTTCATAGTACATATCAAATTAAACCAAAGTAAAACCATTTAATTGCTATCAGTTTAAACCCATCTATTTTACCAAACGACCTCAAACTCTGACCTACCTCAAGCTGAACCTTACCACGTTTCGTTTATCACATGTTTTATCAAAAGCCATAAAATTTAATTTATGTAAATTAATTCTACGAGTTATTATGACATTTGTTACTACCATGCGTGAGAATACCTACATTATCAAGTAAATATCTGGTGACACAAGGACAAATATAATATTATTTAACTCATAACGGAGTTTATAATTGAATATTTTAATCAGCATCATAATCTCATGCCTAAATTATTTTTTTATATTTATATACTATCGACCAGTCCCGGCTTCGCACGGGTGCAATATACATGTATCAAACATATAAACCTTCCTTAAGAATCACTATATCTATTAAAAAAAGTGCATTACAATTCGTTGCGTAGTTTTAAAGATCAAAGTCAAAGTCAAAATCATTTATTTCAAATAGACCAGGAAAGTACTTTTGAACGTCAAAACAAAATGTTTAAATATTAACTCGTCGAGTACCGGTTTTGTAGACACAATTATAAAACAATAGGTTGCGGTCACCGGTGACCGCTTGATGTCAGTCTGTAGGTCAGTCCTCTAGTGAAGCTATTTGCTCTTTCCAAGGTGTAGATTCCTCTGGAGAAGAACGACCAAGAAACTCCATAGGTTACTCTTTTTCAATCATGTTCACAATACAAATTTTTGGTTACATTCTTTCGTTGAATTCAATTATGTGAGAACAATGTAGAGGTAATACCAATATTTGGTCAAGGAGACGGAAAAAGAAAATAACTATAATAATAAAGAAATCGCAGTAAGGAACCTTAGACTGTGTATGACTTTGTCTACATTTCATTACTTTTTAGAGATGAACGTGCGGCTACAGCCAGGTTTTTGGTTGGATAATACTAAACGATTTTACCATAACACAACACAACATCACGCCTTTTACCCCCGAGGTAACACCCACTTAAAACCCAGTAATACTTTGCCCGACCGGGGAATCGAACCAATTTTACCAATTTCAAAATAAAACCAAAATTATTAATTAACGGTTGCACTTAAGACCAACAAACGACCCAGTACTTTAATCAACAAGAAGTAAATTATTAATTCCAATTTTAAACATCAAATGGGTCTGTCTGTCAGTCTAATGAAGATTGGTTGAATCCGTTGCGACCTTGGCACAATAATCTCCTATTCTGAACCAACCCGTGCATTAAGCGATTCTGGACAATTTCCCCGGCACTCCCCTATTGTGCGGTTCCTTTAATAAATGAAAGATAACGAAGCAGAAATTACAGGGGATATTTTTATCCTTATAGAAAATTTTTGGTGAAGCTATGGGTAGATAGAATGAAATACCGTAATGGAAAATGTTGGCGTTGTTAAAATTCAACCTGCCTCGAAACTGTTCTTTTATGATTTGGCTTAGCATGCGTACCCTAGTGTATACCTTATGGTAAACTTGTTTAAGTTGAAACTTAATTGACCTCTTATCTGTCGGTATGCGAGACACAATAGTAAACACATTGTGTCTCGCTTATATCGGCATACCACGGGTTAAATCACATCAGCTTATATGAAGCCAGGTCAGGTCCTCTAAATAGATCAGCTCCAGAAAAACAGATATCCTGACCCTTTATAAGGACAATCCGGTAGTCGCACTTGCGACCACTGAGCAATTATTTCGAGAAACTAAATGCGTACCTACGATTACAATCCATAGTAAATTGCATCTTAGTCTGTTACGAGCCATAATGGCTTACCTCATCGTATCATTCATACAAGCGGCTACATTAAATATTTCAGACAATTGGTCTCAATTACACAGAGCAATTAAGATTAGGATCGGTCTTTTGATACGTGACAAGGCATTACTGTTTGTTATTTTAGTTTTTTTAATGGGACAAGCCCGCCACTGCTTCGTAAAACCGCTGCAACTCCTATAAGCTAGGATCTATAATAGGCATAAGCCGGTAAACGAGTAGACAAATCACCTGATGATAAGCAATCTGCGTCGCCCATGGACACCTGAAACACCAGAGGCGTTACAAGTGCGTCACCGGCTTTTTGGGGATTAGAAGTTTGAGGATCGTTGGGGATTCAGGGATTGGGGAGATTGGGGAAGGTAATTGGGCCTCCGGTAACCTCAATCACACGACGAAACACAACGCAAGCGTTGCTTCACGTCGGTTTTCTGTGAGGCCGTGGTATCACTCCGGTCGAGCCGGCCCATTCGTGCCGAAGCATGGCTCTCCCACACTTAAAATTATAAATAATAATAATTTTAATTTTTGA